TCATAATGCTGCATGCCTGATGGTTCTACCCCTAACACTGGTTTGAGTGCAGAGAAGGGAGGAAGCAGCTCTTCACCTAATCCTAAAGCCGCTGGGCAGTTTTGCATAGATGCAACAGACAGGAATTAAGAGGTACTGCTGCTCAGTGCTGTAGTAGTTGCTCCTTGTAAGTTCTTACTTCTGCTCCCCCCACACAAGGAATAGGAAGGCTCTAGCCATAAGCTACCCAGTCATTTAGTTGTTGTGAAGTGTGATATTTGGCAGAATGTTTGTCATTCATGCTAAGTGAAGGTTGCCTGAGAGCTTATCTGCACAACCACAAAAGCTTAGCACTTGGTCCTTACCAAGTCAAAAATGGAAGCCTTGTATTTTGGACATGTTTTCAATTTCAGAGACATGACAGCGGGCCATGTTGCCTCATTTCACGCAATCCGCTCTGAACATTCATTTTATACAGCCTCTGTCCATTCTCCCAAGTTCTATAAATTGTAATAATTACAAGTACTGCTTGAGAGGGAATGGATTGTATGTGGTACATATATTATTTAGCTTTTTGTAGCACCCCCTTGGAGTCATCAGAGCAACTCAGAGTATTAGCTGACAGGGTGTTGCTACACTGCTCATACATAAAAGCCTCGTGTGGTTGGTCCCATCAGTAGAGAAACCCTCCTCCCCTCATTTATGCAGTTTATATTCCCTTTTAAGATGCACAGAGATCTTTGAAGTGTGAGAAATTTCATCTGGATTCTGCTGGGTGCAGTCAGAAGGGAAGAACATCGAGCCATTATAGACTTGTGTCAGCTGATGGGAAGATGCTTTTTTGTGCTATTTCAGTGAGCGATTGTGCCTTTGATATTAATGAATGCATTAAATGCAGGAAAAAGTTGGTTGTGCTACTTCTGCCTCCTGGTGCCCTCTTTTCAAAACCACTTTGCTCTCATCACTTACTCTAATTTAGGCCATCAGATCAAACCATGCTCTGCTTTCTTTATTAAAAGAGGCGGCTGCAAATGACACTGCAATTTCTTAATCTGTTTAGCAGACACAAGAGTACATATAATGGAGGCCAGTGGGCCCATTAAGGGAGTTTCTGGCTGGAGAGCTAAATTTGTATGTTGTGTAACTGGAAAACACAAATGACAGTTAATAATATGGAACAATATGTAATATAAATATAGAATTAAAGCACCTCTTCCTCCTGTCCCTGAGACTCATAACAATATTTAGGTCTAAGGCCTTCAGTCTACATTGCCCAGCCTAGGTTAAACCAGCAAAGTTTATAAATGCAATGAAGTAACACTTTCTTATCTTATTTGTGTAGATTCAAGCAGATGATGTGCTTGTCTTTTAGGTGCTTTCAGATGAAGGAACCAATCCAAAGACTTCAATTATTAATTATATTTATATATAAAAGAGGTTTACATAAAAGATAACAAATAGCACTTTTATACTTTTATATAATGCAGTATAAAAATATACAGCTGAAGTGTGAAGCTATTCCATTTTTTCCTCCTTAATGGAGTTTGCTGTCCCAGAAACTGGATGAGTTACTGCTGGCAAAAAAAAAGAGGATTAGAACTGATAGAGGACAATTGAGTGCTGATGACTGGGAGTGAGAGTGGAGGTTGAGAAGGGTTTCTAAACCACACGCTGGCCTGAAGTCTTCTTTCTGCTCTGGCTCACTACAGAGGATGCATCAGAGCCAGGCAATGGCAGGACTTTAAGGGAAGTGAAAAGTAAGCCATGCTTTTATATACGCACATCTGACTGAAAGGACATGAATGCTTTATGGTGGAGTCAAGCCAGCCTGGTTCTAGTCTGTTAGAGATTGTCTGTAGCCAAACAATTGGAAATTATTCCTTGGTGTTTCCAGCATTGGTATTTCAGCAAGAAAAGCACTAGAGTCTTTGAAGAAGTTAAAAACATTAACATTAGTTAGAAATACACACTAGAATTTCAGATGGCACAGATGTATCAAGTTAAGGGATGCTGGAAACATACAGTGGCATGAGAACTATTCAACAGATCAAGCATGGCCAAGCTTTTCAGGATTGAGTGCCACATTCCTACTTGGGTCAAAAGCAAAGAGTGGCTGGGTATCTCCCTCCCCTCCTCTATCCATGCCCTCATTTCCTTTTCCTCCTCCTCCTCCTCTCTGTGTCTCACCCAAAACCTCCCCACATCACCCCAGCAATCTCAATGTAGGCTCTGCTAGTTAAAAGTAGCTCACAGGTTGCCCACCTATGCTTTGGTGCAGTCACAGTGCACCTAGTATTAATCTTTGCAATGGAAGCTCAGTGTAGATGGAATTGGGGAAAAAGGCATTTTCCAGTATTTTGAACACTTGGAAAATGTGCTTTCCTTGTAACATCAATGTGTCCTTGGCAGAAAGTCTGCATCTCTCACAACTGACATGCAGACCAAATTGATAATCGAGAATGATGCCATGTTGGTAAAATATAATACGATGTCATCTTGAAATTTTGCGAGTTAGTTCCAGCAGACAGCTGAACATCTATCTCTTCCTTTCAGGTATATCAGACTTCCCCAGCCTGCTGCCCTTCAGGTAGTGTGGACTACAACACCCAGAATTCCTGATCATTGGCCAAGTTAACTGGGGCTGATAGGAGCTGAAGTTCAAAACATTTGGAAGGCATCAGGCTTGGGGTATGGCTGATGCATATTACCTCTACTTGGATTGTTATAGAGAGTGACAGCAAATTTGAATGCTGTTGAATGATTTTTCCAGTAATATGGAAAATGTGCCCATCATTAGTGACCATAGATACCAATTAGTCTCTTTGAAACTGGCATTCATACCAAACCGTAAAGCTGAACTGTGTGTGTGCTGTTTTGGCAGCAGTGCTCCAGCTCTCTCAATGATTCAGAGTGACAGAAGAATTCACATTAACTTGGAAGTGCGAAATTGGATTGGAATTGAATCTGTGTCACACATATCATTTGTCACAGAGCTTCTTTTTTTCTCCTTTTCAAACCTTGCTGCTGTTAAGAGTTGTGTCACCTAGGGAGTGACAGCTCTTCATCAAATGTCAGGCCTTTAAGTGGTTGGCAATTAATGTAAGATTGAAGTAAAGTTTTTTCCCAGCAGATTTGTTCACAAGACTGAAATAGGTATCAGTTTGTAATATTTTGAATGTGTCCTAAACCACTCAACCGAGCAGATATGGGGAGATTGGGAAGCTGTTATGATGATAACAGGGTTCATAGTCTGGTGGTTTACACAGACAAGATGGGTCACATGTAACAACACATCCCAGTTCTATAGATGCACATAACTGTGAAACTGCAGATGTTTCGATCGGTGTGTGCCTACATGTAAAGCAGCTGGGGTAAGCATGCCCCGCTATTTTATTTTTCATCAGCTGTACCTTTTGTGGGGTCACACTGATTACATAGGAAGTTGCTTTATACAAAGTCAGACTCTTGGATATGCTATTATTGACAATGACTGGCAGTGGCAGTCAAGAGTCTCTGGCAGGATTCTTCGCTAAATTTACCTAGAGAAGGCAGGAATGAAACCTGGGACTTTATACATGCAAAACATGTGCTCCATCTGTCCGTCCATCCATCCATCCGATGAGAAGGATTGTGGTGAAATTGCTCGCTTCATAACGGCAGGCAGATCTTCAGAAAGGGAATCGGAATGGTGCTTGAGTCTATTCCCAGCTCCATCCTGTCCCATCTCCATCCAGGTATTCTCTCTGCAAAAGCTTTGCATGAGACTGCAGTGCCACAACTTGTGATGGTGGCTGTTGCTGGGGAACTAGTATTAGCATATATGATTGTACTGGCATCACAGAACAGTGTGTGCCCTTCATCCTGTGGCTGAAGGTACTCTGCTTCATATTCTCACCTCTCTGCTGCACCAGGTCTTTAAGGAGGTGAGATAAGGCATAGCATAGGCAGGTATTTGCTGATGCATGGGGCTTATAGGACCAGATGGCAAATGTGTGTCCTTTACTGTTTGAGGGAGAGTTCTCTAAGCCTGGGCTGTTGGGAATCTCTTGTTCTTGAAGGATGGAGGATCTCTTCATAATTCTGAGAGTTCCCTTGCCCCCTTTTAACATCCTCTGTGCTGCAGCATAAAAGTTTTAATAATGCTTGGGTTAAAGGTAGGATGAAATTAAACTGCTTTGGAGCTCTATACTCTATAGTGAAAAGGGACAGGGATGGGTTGTTGGCAGCAAACATTATGAAGTTTCTGCAAAACATCCATCCATGTTCTAACTGGAATAGAAAATACTTGCAAAGGATGATGAGAGTTCTGGAAAACAGGTATTCTGCTTTCAGAGTTGTCTAGGATAAAGCACAGGTTAAGGCTGATTTCACCAACCTGGTGTTCTCCAGCTGTGTTGAACTGCCTCTCTCAGCATGCCCCAGCCAGGATGAGGAGGACTGCTTTAGGATTCTGCCCTGTGAGCCACGAGCTTTGCCGAGCCAGTGTTGGCAAACAAGGGCAACTGTCAATGTGCGCTTGGCTGGAGACAGGTTTTCCTCTATAAGGGTCCCTGGCACTAGGGGCTTTGTGCCCTACCATCATAAGCACAATACGAGGAATGGTAAGGAGGACATGGTCCACCAGCGCACATCTATACATTTCTACTCTAAAGTAATCACCCTGGAGTTCAGTGGGACTTACTCTCAGGTAAGGGTTTACTCTCTCAGGTATATATGTATAGGACTCCAGTCTTACTTGTTTTGGTCATACAAGGTATTTGGAGGATGAGATTTAATTTACAGATACAGAGTGGTTTGTGTAGTGGCATCTTCCTTTTATGTTCTTGGCTATTATTCTAAATCCTTTCAAATGAACTTTGAACAAACTAATCATATATTTAAGTTTCATTTTTATTGACTTTCATAAGTGTGAGTGTATGTGTATATATGTGTTTCCTGAAGTACAGAGTCTGACAGTTAGCCCTTGCGTTAAGAGGAGTCTTGCAAATTTGCATGTAGTCTCTCTTTTTTATCTTCCAATTATTAGAACATCAATTGGCTGCAAAGAGAAAAAATGACAAGAATGTAAGTTTGTGAATCAATACTGTGTAAGCTTAAGCTTTGATCTTCCTAATCTTCACATTAAAAAACAAAACAAAAGCTGTTTGAAGTCAGGCAGATTATTATACCAATTTTACTTAAAATATGGTATCAAAGAGATCCATATTTTTCCATTACAGTAGGAAGCACTGTTTACTGATGTGTAGGACTGAGTATAATTCTATTTCATCAGATTATTTTCATTTCTGATTATTATTTACTAACTGGGCAATCCTATACATGTCTACTTTGAAGTAAACTCCACTGAATTAAATGGGGTTATTCCCAGCCAGGTAAGAAGGTAGAAAATTGCAGCTTAAGTGTGAAATTTGATTTGAATTTTCATATGTACTTGGCACATATCTTTGAATATCTAGCTTCAGTTATAGACGCAGAGGTGATTTGATGTAGAGGTTTTGCTCCAGGATAGCCAAAAATCTTTAGTTATTCAGTATAATCCCATATATTTTACTTCTCATTTCTGTTTTTAAGATAACTCCATTGGTCTCACTCTTTTCAGTGAGACAGAATTTCATTAGCATGCCCAGGGACATAAACTCTTTTTGATTTCATGGCAGAAAGATAAGCAATACATAAAGAGGTATTAACAGCAACAAATGTGGAACATAAGAATGTTTAAAAGTCTACAATTCAATCTATTTCCAGGGCAGATATCATCCAGGGAGATTCAGGAGCCACTCCTATAAGGAATAATGTAGTATCCAGTTTGAAGAAGAATCCCTCAGTTCATTGTGTGTTGTAGTCTCTTTGGTGAAACAGCAGCTCAACAACTGATGAAAATGAATGCAGCTCAACTGGCCTTCCGCAAACATACAACTTTATGGAAGCTGAAAAACTGCCAAGAAATGGAGCAATTACACTAGCCTACCAATTTTACTGATGCAAGTTTCAAAATGTTTCCCAGCAATGTATTATTTCTAAAAAATGTGACTATTTCCTCAGAAAGGCATGGAGGCTGTGCACTCCCCTGTCTCTTCCTCTCACATCTACATGGTTTCAATTTCACTGAAAATGAGTACTGTCAATTTGATCTCCCTGTTTTGGTAATCTTGTCCATTTTCCTTCTCTTTAGGTCAGGAAAAGGGTGAATGCCCTTGCATTCCAGTACTGGATTGTATACCTCTATCCCTCCCTCTCTAAGATGGATGCCCAGTAAGTAGTATGGCTTTTCCTTCCCATCCTTTGAAACACAATTATATAAGGTTATCTCATTTGCAGTGAGGCTTCCCCTGCTCGGTTCACTCTGGAAGATCAAATATAGTGCACTTTGTGCAAGCATTGCGCAAATGTGGTTGTGGCGTGCTTCCTGTTGGCTGTGATCAGTAGTGACAGAGGAAGGATTTATGATCTTTGGTAAGGAACTTTCTTCAATGGGCCATTATTAAGGAACCTTATTGGCCAATGCAGCAGGATAAATATCCAATAAACAAATAATAAGTAATAGGACACATATCCATTCCTGGAATTGTAGCACTGAGAGGATTGCCAAGGAAAAATGTAAGACCCCATAATACCTTTCTGAGCATCTGGTAACATCTCTGTTAGGAATTCCTCCAGGACATCTTGGTATTTTCCCAGCTGTCTGGGGTTTAGATGTATTCCGATTTCTACAGGAACAATCAGCTGTGAAGGAAAACAGAGTTAAGAAGCGAGGAAAACCAACATTTTAACCACATTTTACATCATGCACATTGAAGGGAACAGGGTCATTAGTAGTAAATAATTTGCTGTTGCAGAAAGGGATTTCCTGAGCCAGTGGTTTAGTCTTTGAGGATGTGACCTATGCAGCAAGATTAAGTTGCTTTTTAAAAGTGCAGTTGCAAATGTCAATGGCTGATGTTTCTGATCTTGCAAGTCTTCACAATTTATCAGCTTTTTAAAAGCTTGAGTCTACAGACCAGCACATGACAATGCACCATGCATATGGTGATTGAAATTAGTTAAACTATGGAGTGTGATTGATTGAAAAGTCTTGAATTAAATATGGTGAGTTCTCACATAAGCAAGTATCTAGTTCCCAGGTCTGCAGAGAAATTCCTAAAAATAGGATCTCAGTGTAACTGTAAGAGTTTACAAATGAGAATGCAAATCAAATGAACTCTATGTTTGGTTATGTTACTTGGTTGTACAATTTTTAAATGTTTCCGTTAGGCAGTTTGGCTGGAAGGAATGGAACAAGGATGAAGTGGTACAGAGATTTTGTAGGGAGCGCTCATCATTTTTTGAGAGCAACTTTTGAGAGGCTAATCAAGTTTAACTTGCATAATTCCATAGCCCAGAGGATTCAGTCTACTGGGGTATGCTGATATTGAATATTGGTCATCAGCTGAACTTTTGAGAATGCTATTGGTGGCAGTAGGACCAACCAAGCAGCAGGGGAAGAAGGAACTTTGGAGTCCTTGGAACTCTGGACAACTGTAATATATTCTGAGCTTCGTCATAAATGTGACTGTGCCAGCTCTGGCGATATTAATAAAAGCTTCCTCTGATTGCAATGTGTGAATGTAAAAAGTACTGGAGATTATGAGGGATGGTAAAACAAGAAACAAGTGAGAGATGCACCAGTTGTCACAGGAACTCTTCAGTTCTACAAGTTTTCATGCACATTGGTAGGTATAGAGAACAGCTGTCAAAGCCTTTGTGATGATCAGTCTATTCAGTGTGATTGGTTGGCTAGTCACTCTGTCCTGCCATGTCTTAGGACAAGGGGATTGAAACTCTTCTGTCCCAAGAACCAAATTCCATTCTGAATGAGCTCTTGGGGGCTGAATTTCAAGGGTGGACACAGCCAAAGACAAAAGGGGTGGGGCTAAAACACCAGCATGTTTTAGCTGAAAGCCCCTAGTTTTAGTGATTAACCCACAGGTGAGGCAAGTCAGCTTTTTCAAATAGAGGGGAAGATGTGGGAAACTACTAAATGATCCACAGTTGGGGGGGGGGGGGGGAGAGTAGGACCATCTGGGGAATCTGAGAAAGTGGGATTTGGATCCTGGGTTTGAGTTTCTGCACTTGTCTTAAAAATGCACAGCCTTGTATGGATGCATAGCATTCAATAAATACAAGCATGACTGTAACAAAATGGTGCAGTGTGGAGTGTTCTTGTTCAGTCCAGCATTTCTGCCAGCCAGCCAGCCAGCCAGCCAGCCATTCCATTCCATTTCCCCTTCCACTGATTTTTCTATTTCTGCCCTCCACAGTCATCATTCCGTGGCTGCTCATTCTTCAATGTGGTCTTTGTGATCTTGGATGTTCTTCAGAAGATTGTCTGTACTTCTGAAGTATTTGGGTTCATCTTAAGCCTACCTGTGTGTGTGTGTGTGTGTGTGTGTGTACTTGTCTGTCCACAGGCATGCGCATGTGCGCACATGTGCGGTGCCGTTTTGGCTACAGAAGTAATGGTGCTCATGCCTGAACATCAGATGAACCGAGATTTCACAGACTATTCTTGCCCCCACTACCCCCCGTCATTGAGATTGTTTAGTATCATTTTAAGTGAACAAGTAGATTTTTGCTCTCTCATTAATTTAACCTAATAGTGAACTCATCAGTGCTAAAGTCTGAGTCAAATGAATCGAAATTGAACATCATATGAATATTGTCAAAGACCAGAATATGAATGAGAGAAAATGAATGCATATATTTGACTATTATTTTGATAACCTGTTTGTTTAGCCCTAGTAAATTCTATTCTAGGTGATATAAATGTTTATTCTGTTAGGGATGTGCATTGGATCTGGACAAAGCTCATCAAAGCTCATCTTTGGACCCTGCTGGTGCTTCCAGAGGTGAAGTGCGCTTCCCTTCAAAATGACTAGGCTCAGAACTAGACCCTCACAAGAATTCAGTCACAATTTGGCTTCAGAAGGACAGGCACTGTGTCTTCAAAAATACTATCTTCTGCTTTCATTTCTCCAAATGCTGATCAAGGGGGAGAGAGCACAATGAAGTATTTTTAAGTGACTGGCAGGTCCTCCTAATCATAGGGCACATTTTATCAGAGGATCGCCAATCACTGTGCACTGGGGGCTAGCAAAGATGGGATTGCAAGATGCTTATTCTGCGATTACTGCCAACAAAATTCCACTGTGGAAAAGAAAAGCTTTAAACTGGTTTTCAGTCATCATAAACCCCTAGCACCTGCATTCACCCTTCTGAAACTTTTCAGAGTTCTTGCCAGGGACACCTCTATGACATGTGGCATTTTCATACAAATGGCCCAAAAAATATGGGAAAAGGCGGAGGGAAGGAGGAAAAACCAATCCCTTCATAAACTCCAAACTCCCCTTTCCCTTGAACGACTACACCTAGGCTTCAGATACTTTGCAGGTTTCTTGGGGACACTTGTAGGCTGCCAGGTTATTTCCAGAACACTTATGCACAAGAAGCATAGGGAGGTATGTCCTTCTGCAACAACCACCCCAGACCTATTTTTTTTTTTATATTAGGTAGGCATAATCCTAAAGCCTACATAATTAGATGTAACAGACCAACAGTTTTGCAAAGATACATATTGCAGCATCTTATGACATATCCAACCCAAATATGTGGACAAGCATTATCCTGATGCAAGAGATCTTGCTTATATTCTTATGTTAGAGCTGAAAGTTTGGAACATGTAAGATCTAAACTCTATGCTAGGAGAATTTACTTTGTCCCCCTTATAAGTAGATTAGCATTTACAGCTAATGGTCTCAAGCAATAGATTTTACCTAATAACAATACATTTTATTGCTATTATTATTGGTTTTTTTAGTAAATGTTATATTGTATTTGTATTGTTTTATATGGTTAGATTTTAATATGCTGAAAGCTACCCAGAGAGCCAATGGTTAGTGGGGTGGCATATAAATTGAAATAATAATGAGGAGGAGGAGGAAGCGAATCCCCTCCTAAAAAGCTACCTGCAAATATCTTCCAAATCTGTCAAAAAGTAGAAACATTAGTCATTTTGGGCTTTCCCATGATAGTGAATGTGAAGCATGAACCCTCAAATTTGCAGACTTCAGCTCATACTTAGCACTGAGTTGAAGCAGGCAGCCTCTGACTTCCATGGAACAGAAATGAGCCATTTCTCAAAATAACAGTTTGAACTCCAAGTCAAAGCAGAGGGGTGGTGCACAGCCCTAGTAACAATAGCATTTGTATCAAATGGCTGCAACCTTCTGCAAAAGCATTTTACAAGAATTTGGGTGGCTGAACTACAGAAAGTGATTGAGAAAAGTTGAACAGCAGCAGATTTCTTGCCTGAGAAAGTAAATCTCAGGCCATCGGTACTTCATGCTTCATGTTTTGACTGGTATGCCAGTGGAACTGTTCTTCTGTCCCTGTCTTGTCTTGTTGACATAATCCAGAGAACAACGTACCTTGATGACCTGTCCTTCATCATCGGAAAAGTCAGGAAAATCTCTTGTGTCTGATTGCTCCTCCAAAGTCAAGGATTTTTTCTGTGCTTGGTTCTTCTCTTTCTCCTGGAACCAGAAAACGTAATAATTGAGAATGCCACATTAGGGCTGGCTACAAATCAGAGAGTGGTAATGATAATGTTGCCATTTCAAAAGAAGATAGGCAAAGCCAGCTTGCCATAGTATTTCCTTCAGAATTTTTTGTTAAAACTTCTCTTTGTATCCAAGTTCCACATGTGTTTATTCAGATGTCTTACTGATTTCATTCGGACAGATTGTGCTTCTGGAAAAGGACCTTATTCTACAATGACCCTTCCTCATCCATGGTCTAGCTACAATGCATAGCTTTCCCCTGGGAGTTACCCCTTGAAAAAATCAATCAGTCAAACATTCTAGGCTGTTAGAGCTGTCCTGTAATATCCTTTGAATTCCTAGCTTGTCCAAAATATGATAGATATACCATTACCATCATATAAAAATGGAAATTCTTATTTATAGGCTGAAGGGTATATTGAGAAAAATAATTAAGTCTGTATTTCAGAATCTGCCCTCTGATTTGTGCAGTTTTATAGGACTTTTTACAGAAACAGCATTCCTATGACACCTGGGCATCATCAGGGGAACCATGGGGAACTGTGATTTCCTAGATCTGAGGTCAGAAACTGGGCTCCAGCCTCAGAGCTGGGACTCTGCACCCCCATTTCCTTCTCCACAGCAATTGGTGCCAGAAAGAACTGTACTGGCTGTCAAGTGAGTGGGGAGGAAAGGAGACTGCAGAGGCCTACAAATAACTATATGGTGGTGTTTGTAGCCTCCTTCCTTCCCTTTTCAAAGAGTCTCATCTGGGAAGCCAAAAATGGCTGTCTAGTGAAAATACAGAGTGGGAGCAACAGGGAAGCCAGGGTTGCCTTGGCTGTTCCTCCCACTTAATATACAATGCTCATAAGCCTCTGAGGGCCTTGCAGGTATCACGGGCACAACATGTAGGATTGTGACCTAAAGGAATACTTGATCTTTTGTCACCTTCGAGTTGGTTTGGTGGCTTACATGGCAGCATTTGGGTTACATGCCAGCCTTCCTGGAGGCTGAACTCAGCTTTGAAATATGAACTACTAGAAACCCCATTGAAATGAACAAGTGTTGAATTTCAGGCCAGTTTTAAGGCTAGTGTATTAACTTCAAGACTAGATTATTAATCTCTAAAACAAATCGAAAGCAGTCTGGATATTTCCGCTGATAGACCATTGACCTTGAACGGACAGAATGAAAACATTGTTAGGGTAGGAGGTGGAAATAGCGGTAGTGGTTGGTATAAAAAAGTAATAAATAAATAAATAAATAAATAAATAAATAAATAAATATCAAGGCAGGATTGGGGGGTGGGGTGGATGGGACTTTCCTGCCCTCGTGCCAGTCCTGTCACAGGAACCGAGGAAACTGTCAGGCTGAGTCAGATTGCTTATTAATTTATTACCCTGATCGATAGTAGCTCTCTGGTATTTCAGAGAGCATTTTTCCCCAGCTCTGCATGGAGATATCTGAGATGAAACCAGAGACCTCTCACACGTAAAGCATGTGGTATGTGCTGCCCATTGGATGTTATTTCCAAGGAGTCTAACCTGCATTCTTCTGAAGTCCTCACGACTGTAGAAGGCAATGTACCCTTCACTCTGTTTAGCCAGCATGGCTGCCATGTACAGAAGCAGAAAGGTGGCCATCACTTTTCTTGGAACCATCCTGCAGCATGGAAGAAAAAAAATCCGGAAAATGGAAGGTCACATCAGATTGCCTACGACGGCCTTCTGCACCCTTTTGGACTACAATTTCCAGAGGCTTCAGCCCGCAGTCAAACACAATAGCACCTTCTTGCACATGTTCACTAGCAATTGGTAGTGATGGTGGAGAAAAATGCACCCATCAGGACCTGTAGCCTACTGGCACCTTCTTCCCCATGAATTTATCTACTCCCATGCTTGAAAGCTGCCTAGGTTTGTCCTCATCCCTAGAGCTGCAGTACTTCATTACTCAGCATTCCTTCAGTATTTCAGTTCCAGCCAGCAAGGTCTTAAGTAATACAATAGTGGTTCCAAATGGTATGTAGTTTAATCTATAAATTGCAAATGTATCCATGATTTTAGCTGACCAGCTGAATAGTTAATAGGTATTTATCTATCATCAGCCATTGTATCATATTTTCTCCATTTAGAATGCTTGTCATGGTCTAAACAGGGGACTACTTTTCTATTTTTAGCTTTTAGACCAGATGATGCAAAATGGCTTTTTTTAATGAGTTGAGAACCAGCAATGACCTTCTGACAGGCAGCTGGAACCTTTTTGTCTGACCATTAGACAACATGTTTTTCTGAACTGAGAACAAGACTATTTTCTCTAAACCGTTGTCTTTCTAACGTTCTGTCTTTAAGGATTCCTTTCCACATTAGCTGCTTTGTTAAGGGACCCCTAGAGAAATCTAGTTGCACTTTCTAGGGGTCATTTTCATGGCATATGAGATGCAAGCCAGCTCTGCGGAGCCTTCTGTTTCCTATGGGGCATGCATCTAAGGCTGCATATGAGAACACAACTGATTTAAGAAAGTGCACCTAGGATAGGGGTGGACATGAGGGAGATCTCCAGATGTTTTGTACTCCAGCTGCCAGAAGTCCCTGCATGGGCAATGGTCAGGCATTCTGGGAGCTGAAGCCCAAATACCATGGTCCTAGTTCTACCTGCCACCCACCACAGCCCTCAAACACCCAGCACTTCCCTCCAGCTGTTAATTTAGGGCTGCTTGCATCTCTTCCATCCTGCCCAAACCCTGAAGTTATCATCAGGGGCCCTTCTCACCACCACCAATGGGTAGGATAGTAAATAGAAAGGAGGGAGCCTTTTTGGTAGTGGCTCCATTATTGGATTCATTAGGCCTTTTCTTTATTGGTCCTTATTATTATTATTATTATTATTATTATTATTATTATTATTATTATACCATTTCTATGCCGCCCCTTGCTGAAACCTCGGGGCGGCTTACAACATGATAAAATACATTGAAATACAATAGTACATAATAAATTACCATTAAATATAACAATACAAAAAATACATTGATTTACAAATACAAAATTAAAATTATCAGTATAAAATAAAAATATAGGAGGAGAAAGAGAAGGAAGAAGAAGTTGCCCAGGCCAGATCATATGTTTTAACAATTGAAATGATGTTTAAATAAAAAGGTCTTTACCTGGCGCCGAAAAACCAGTAACGACGGTGCCAGGCGGACCTCTTTGGGGAGTGAATTCCATAGGTTGGGCGCCACCGCAGAGAAAGCCCTCCTCCGGGTACTTACTCTCCTAATTTCTTTCATGGAGGGTTCCCGGAGAAGGGACTCTCCCGCAGATCTCAAAGGGCGGTCAGGCATATACGGACGTAAGCGCTCGTTCAGGTAGCCAGGACCCAAGCCATTTAGGGCTTTGTAGGTCATAATCAACACCTTGAACTGGGCCCGGGCTTCAATGGGAAGCCAGTGAAGCTGATGGAGGACTGGAGTCATGTGAGCATAATGCCCCGTCCCCGTCAGCAACCTGGCAGCTCTATTTTGCACCAATTGAAGTGTTCGGACTGTCTTCAGGGGAAGCCCCACGTAAAGCGCGTTACAGAAGTCTAGGCGGGAAGTCACCAGCGCGTGTGTCACCGTCGCCAGGCAGTCGTATTCCAGGTAGGGGCGCAGCTGATTAATCAGCCGAAGCTGAAGGAAGGCGTTCTGAATACCCACTCATTTTCACTGATCTTAATTTTGGGTTTACTGATTTGATTGATAATCACTCTTTTTACTGAATGTTATTGCCTTGTATTGAATTTTTATGCTGTCTTGGGAGGGTTCTACCCTCAAAGGCAGCCTAAACATAATTTCATATAAATTAATTAATTTTAGGGGACAGTGGAAAGGGATGGACAGATTGTCCTTCAGAGAAACTTGTGTGCCATAACTGATACTGATTTTCTCATCAAGCAACTTCTGATCTCTTCTGGGGAATGCTCCAGCTTGGTTTGAAGAATGTTCCAAGCAAAAATTGCAAAAATTAGCCTGGATTTTCTTTCTGTAAGAAGGCAGTTCTTCTGACTTTCTATGCAACCTTTTCAGGTGCTTCAGGGGCTGCACTGGGAAGCAGAGAGTGGGAATGTTCACTTTTGCTACCATCATTACAGTTGAATCCATACCATTAAGTTGGTTCACATGTATTGCCAAACCTTGGCTTGACCACCTATGGGATTGCATATGCCCTCCTTCCCTTCCATGTTCCAAGCTCCTCCCCCACTTCCAGGTTCAAGCAAGCCACAGTCTGTCTTGTCTTGTCTGAACCAACACACTCAGTATTGTGCTTGCCCTTCCAACTAGAATTACAAATCCATTTCAAACATGGTTTCCAATTCTTGTTTGGTGGACAAGCACAGACTTTAGCTTTGAAACTGGAGGGACAAACCACGGTTTACCAAATGTGGAAGTAAAAAACAGGAAGGCTCATGGTAGGCAGAATGCATAATGGCACGATAAGTGAGGAACACAATATCCAGGTTGCTAGGACCCAATAAGCCACTCTACCCAAAATGTGCCCAACAGATGATTGGGCACATTGTAGGTAGTCTCCCTCCCTCCCTCCTGCCCCCTCTTGGCCCTCCTGTAGGTATCCCAGGGGACCATGGAGGAGCCCTGAGGTTTCCAAGAAGGGCTGGAGAGCAGGGATTGCTACCACTGTCTCAGAAGTCAGCAGCAGTAATCTTGGCTGCCCCTGGCAGGAACGGACTACATGTGTTCGCTGCAACACTGGGCAGCAGGAGCAGAGCAATCATTTAGCTGGTAGTTAGCCTGTTTACAGTAATCCCTGCCTTGCAGCAATGGGAGAGGGTAGGGGAGTCATGGGTGTCCCAGCCAGCTGTCAAGGGCTTGTGGTGGCAGGACAGGTGAGCTGGGTTTGCCACTGCAACACCAGGCAGTGAGGGAAGCCTCTGACAGCTGCCCCCAAGTGCTGTTCGGGCAACAAACCAACCTGTAAACCGTGGCTTGTCAGTGTAATCCCGAAATAAGCCACCCTGTCAAACCTCGGGCTTGCATTCCAGACTACACTTCTTTCCCTCAACTGAAATAAAGGCCATGGTGTTTGGAAAGTTTCCTTGTCTATCCATTGACAGACATCATTGGCTTGTTTTGAAGAAATGACATGCTACATTTGTAACCAAGTTTTTGAAAGTATTAAACTGCTATGTAGATTTGCTCCACTCAAAGCCCCACTACAGCTTTATAGTGGTAAAACTGGGCATTTCAACAGGGCATCATCCATGGAAGTTTTGCATCTTTCCCATTCCCTTCTGTTCATTTCCCGAGAAGAAATATTTGCCAGTTTTGGCAGGAAAACAGATTGCTTCACTGTCACCACGAGCACCACCTCCCCCTTTCCCTTTCCTCCATAGCTCCACAGAGGGGGAAAAAGAATCAGACTGTTGTGTCACAGACCCTAATTTTATAAGAGACCTAATAAGCGCATCTGGCCAATTCCCATTGGTGTGCTGAACGCCTTAATAAACCTTGATAGGTCGTACAGAGCTAAGAACATGGTTTGTCACTGCCGCTCTGTGGGAGCCTGACTTTAAGGAGCTGCTGTAAACCAGTTTTCAACTTGACTGGACAGCAATACCACATCACAAGGAGGATTTATGTAAACATTCAAGAGCCCTTTAATTATTAAATGCTCTTTCGTGAGCAAATTTAATGAAGCATGGTCCAAGTGCTTAGAAGCTATGCTCATTTTTATCCTGAGACTTAATTAATTTTTTTAAAAAGTGCTTTTGGCATTATTCAAATATTGCTCTTGGGTCAGATTTAGCTCCAAACTAAGCCTTTTATGTACCAATAAAATTGTGCAGAATCTGAAACTAATATTGTGCAGCACCTAAAAACTAATTCTTCTGGCACATTTATTGCCCAGATGTATTAGGGCATGGGAGATGAAAAAGAGCAGCGCATGGTGTCACTTACAAAGTGGAACTGCCGCATGGCATTTGGATGATGTTTCTCTGCTGAGTTTTTGAGGGGCACTTTAACTCGGGCATCCAAAGCACCACCTGCTATTGCACTCAGACCCTTGGAGCCTGCAGTCATCTGTGCATGTGCTGCAGGATAACCCAAGCTGTGCATGAGTGTCAGAGCAGGAAATATGGCACTGCAGTATATACTGAACTGGACCTCCCTTGCGCACTCGATGCTGGCTGTGCACAAGGGCACAACTGGGATCTGAGACATTCCTGATGTAGTTGTGTGTCCCAGGCTGCTGTTCCACACCTGAAGCATCCAGATACTAGCACAAATCACATAGCCAACTACAGCCCAGCAGAAGAACATGTGCCACAACAGGTGGCTGCTTACACATATGTGTACCTCTAAGGAGAAAAAGAAACTGACAGCAGATCTAATTTGGCCCTTGTTCTTTTGTTGTAAACTAGGGATGCTTACAGTAGCACCAGTGGAATCAAAGGGTCAAGTCTGTTAGGAGTAACATGCCCCTTTGATTTCAGTGGGACTACTGTAAGCATGACCAAGTCTGGATCCACTTCAAGTATTGACAAGTACATGGTGAGTATAGCGTTCTTCCGGAAGGACTGCTGACTCAGAACTGAAGACGGGGTGGTTTCCTATAACATGGGACAGGTTCCTGGAACTTTATTCTGCAGCAAGAGAAAGATATTGT